TATTCTACAACTGCCTGTGGGTGAAGGTGGGAGTTAGTATTACAATGGCAATTCCTTACCCCTACCCCAGGCTTCCATATTATCCTGACTTCTGGATTATTTTTAAGTGACTGCTCTCAGGTTTACAAATAGGTATCTTTAACTTTTCAGTCTACCTTCAAATAACATTTCCTCTCAGTGTTAGAAACATTCCAAGTGCGTATTTCCATTTTTTCCTATTATCCTTTGTATGATTGTCGTACATTTACATCTGGATGTTATAAACTACACAGTACATTTTTACTTTAAACAGCAAGTTATTTGTTAAAAATTTAAAAATGAGAAAAAGTCTTCTGTATTTGCCCACATATTTACCATTTCTGGTGCTTCTCATATATTTGTATAGATCCAAGTTTCCATCTGTTCTGATTTTCCTTTTGCCTGAGGAACTCCAATATTTCTTGTAGCACAAGTATGCTAGTAACCAATTATCTCAGATTCTGTTTATCTAAAGGATCTTTTATTTTGCCTTAATTTCGGAATCTGTTCAATGAATATAGAATTTTAGGTTGGTAGTTTTTTCTCTCAGCTTTTAAAAAACACCATTCCATTCCTACATACTTTTAGATGAGAAGTCAGCTGTCATTCTTGTTTGTTCCTGTTTTTCCCTCTGGCTGTGAAGATTTTATCAGTAGTTTTTATCAATTTAATTATGATGTGTGTTTTGTTTATCATAACCTGGGGTTAGTTTAGCTTTGTGGATCTGAGTTTAGTTTTCATCATATTTGAAAGATGTGGGTATTATTTCTTCAACTTTTCTCCCACATTCTTTTTCCTGAGACTCTCAATTATGTTAGACAACTTGCTATTTACAGGTCACTGAAATGATCCATATTTTTCAATCTTCTGCCTATGCTTTAGTTTTTAATAGTTTCTATTGCTTCTACCTTCAAATTCACTGTACTTTTCTTCTTCAGTGTCTAATTTGCTGTTAATCCCATCTGGTGAATTTTTCATTTCAGATATTATATTCTTCATCTTTAGAAATTCCATTTACTTAAAAAATATCATCTATTGTCTCATAAAATATTCATATTTTTAATTTCTACATATAGCTGTTTTAATGTCTTTGTCTGATGGTTCTATCATCTGTCGTTTCTTAGTTTCTATTGACTGATTTTAGTCAGATTAATAGTTGTATTTTCCTGCTTCTTCTCATGTCCAGTAATCTGAAGGCAGTACAACTATGAATGTGACTTTGTTCAGTGTTTGGTTATCATTAATCTTCCTTTAATGAGTGTTAGGCTTTATTTTGGCACATAATTATGTCTTAATCAGTACACCTCTTCAAGATCTGTTTTTAAAATTTTGCTAGGGTAGGTCTAGAGTAACCTTCACTTGAGGGACAGTTTGGCCTTATTACTAAAGTGTAACACCTCTGATGTCTTCAATAAATGTCCTGGGTGATCACCCAAGACTCTGGCTAGTCAAAATTTGTATGTCTGTCCACCCTGTGGGCTCTGGGAATTGTTTTCCTGACTCACCAGTCATTCTATGCCCAGCCTCGTACTCAGCAAAGATATCAGCGTTATTTTTGTTGGCTCCCTCTTTTTCCAGAACTTTGCCTTGCAACTCCCAGCTGCCTCAGTCTCCCTTGAACTCTGTCTGCAATTCTGCAAGGTAGTTGAGATGTTTGGGTTTCTCTTGTTATTCTGCCTTTCAGACAAATTGTTTAGAGCAGGGGTTGGCAAACTATAGTCCATGGTTCAATTCCAGCCTACAGTCTATTTTTCTATGGCTAGCAGGCTAAGAATGGCTTTTACATCTTTGAGGGGTTACGTGTGGCCCACAAGTCTAAAAAATTTACTACTGACCCTTTACGGAAAATGTTCGCTGACCCCTAATCCAGAGGAAAATCTGGGAACCTTATTTTTAAAAAGCTTTCCAAGTGATTGTGTGGTAGCAATCTCAAAACCAGTTGGTAGGTCAGTATTTGGAATCCATTACTGTGGTGGAAGGAATGTGATCTTTGGAGCAAGAGAGACCTGGGTTTTACTTCTCGACCTTAGATAACTGCTCTTAAATCTCTATTTCTACAGTTATAAAATGGTAACAATTGATATGCAGAGGATGAGAGATAAGGTACTTAGGTAAAATAGTTTTGTGATACAGAATAGGACACCATAAATGGTTATTATTATTTTACTGATAAAGCACTCATCACTTTTTCTCATTGGTTGCGTGCTTCTGGTGTAAGTCAGTGATTAGTTCCACTAAAAATGTGTTGACCTCCCCCATATTCCCTGCACTTGTTCCAAACGTTTCTCACCATCTTCAAGCCTCCTGATATCAGATGGTAACTGATTTTACCCCTTTAATGGATTGAGACCATCTAACACAAACCTTTTCAACTTTCTATCTAAGCTTTTCTTTTAAGCTGCATTATTCCATCAGTACACCTAAACACTTATCCTCTTCAACTGGCACTGCAATCTTTCACGATCAATTACCTAATTATAATACACTTTTTTACCTCAGACCCTTTCTCTACTTACAAATTACCTTTACTGAGAAAAATCTGTCCTAACTTACCACTGCACATTACCACTTTACTTCCTAGTTTCCAGTGAATTTTGCCTTCCTCACCTTTACTTAATTCCATTTCCCTTACTCTTTATCTGAAAATTTGGTTTTTGTCTTCATATTAAACTACTGAACAAGACTTCCTGAACTCCGAGCCCAAAGCCTTTTTTTAACTTGTCTTACCTTTCTCATTGAAAAATTCTCGACTTGGCTTCTGGGACATTATATTCTCATTTTCCAATCTAGTCTACACAGAGTAATGAGTTTAATCTTCCTAAAGCAAAGATTTGACAGGTTATGCCTTAAAAATCATTAAAGACTATCCACAGCCTATAAAATAAACTCTGTAGCTTCATGTTTAAGGCACTTCAATACTAGCTTTCCTGGCTTTTTACCACTACTTTCTTAAAACAGTCACTTTATTCCATTCATGGCAGCTTACTTGCTATTCCTCAAACACCCCCAAGTGCTATACCACCCCCTTATTACTCCTGCCCTGTTTTCCTGTTTTGGAACTTTAGTCATTCTTCAAGGCCCAGATCAAACATTTCCTCCTTCATGAAGCCAGCTAGATGTGCTATCACACACTTCTTAAATATCTGTGGATAAAAGATTAACAAAGCTTCTGCTCTATGGACATATTTAACCTTTGGTTAACTTTCTAATTCCGTTCCTAAGGAAGAATGATAGACTGTATTACTAGCCAAGACTGCCTAAACAGTTTATATATTAACCCTCATTTTCATACCAATCTTCAAAAAATTAGTATAAACAATTTGATAAACAGGCCATACTGATATGAAGTTGATGTCATACTAACTCTGCCCTGCCCTCTTTTCTTCAACCCAAAGTCTGGTCTGCTTTTAGGACAGCAAAAATTGTCTGCCTATCCGTTGCCCAAGGCACTTAGTGAACTGCTGGAAATAGTTTATGCCAGAGAACTGTAAGTGAAGTAACATAGTTAAAATACCCTGTTTAACCCTGTTTATACTACCAGGACCTCTTAGATCAAATGCTAAAAGCAAGCAGCATTGTTAAGAAATGTTTTAGAAATTCTCAGGTATATAAAATAAGGTAGATTAGAGAATTAGGAATTTTTAAATTTGGTAGGTTTCACCTTTACATAGTAGTATAAAGTATCACTTTATAAGCAGAAACCAAATCTGTTTTACGTGTGGTTGAGGAATGGCCACACAATCAATACACCAACTCTCTAATAACACGGAGTGGCTGTAGCTTGGCCAGACCGCTAAGAGTTTCATCACAGACTTCACCTTAATAACGAAAAGGCTACTTCTGCTCCTCTTTTGTGTAGTAACAGGCATAGTCTCCATATTTAGCCCAGTCCTCTTCTTCCTTAAACCTTATAAAGTATGATTCAAAATACTGCTCCCCTCCTTTTTGCTCTCATCACCCAACATTTAGGACACAGATGTATTCTAATTTCTTAGAAACTTCTATTTTCCTATGCAAGCCCAATACCAGAAACGTATCGTATTTAGGAATCAAGGGATCCCATTCCCTCCAGATGTGCTCTAGAGTATTCCACAGAAACTGAAGCCAAGATCATATCTGTTAGAGAAATAAAACTATGTTAATAGGACAGGCCAAGCTAAAAGTAGGACGATCTGACTTACTTTTGGACCTACTGTCTCTGTGAAAACATTTTAGCCTTAAAATTTGGCTGATTCATATGAAATATTAACTATAGCTATACATAATTTTATAAGGCAAACTATTAATAATCCTTTAATAAAGTGATGAGATTTCATTAATAGAATTAGTCTATAGAAGAAGTGAACACATATAAATATTAACTCAGAATTCAGTTCTGCATAAAACAAGAAAAATAGTTAAGGCCCTAATGTAAAAGTAGGGGAGGGGAGAAGGAGAATATAAGGCCAGTCAGGAAGCCTCCATAAAAACTGCCACTCTTATAGTACATAAAGATATTACTGGCTATCAGTGATAATAGGAGAATCAGAAAATAGAGGTACACTACAGTGTATATTCAAGTCATAATGTGACCATACTCTACATTAAAAGCAAAATTCCTTGTATTTTTTCCGTGGTCTTTCCCTCACCTTATAGCTTCTGTACAAGACTTTTAATCAGAATTCAACTGCTGAAGCCTGAGAAAGGCACAAGGACTTCCCACAGAGTACATGACCAAAGCTAAGGAACCAACCTGGCTGCTACAACAGACAAGCTATGTCACCAGAAAATTTTTGATATTTGCCATCAACAGGAGGAACAAACTTTGGAGCTACAAATGAGATTTTTACAAGGCTAGAAATAGGAGGTAAAAACTTGTTAGCTTCACATAAACCACAGCAAAATTAAAATTCTTTGGGTAACAGCCTATTAGTTTTGTAACACAATGCTTTGCAAGGAAATTCAATGCTCAGAAACAAACAAACAAAATCACTCGCGAAAAATATAACTAAAGAACATTTATTTGTTTTTCACTAGACTGTATCTTGAGGACATAACTAACCTGTGCCACCACCCCCCCCTTCAACTTGAAGAAGGGTTAGTACAGTGAATGTTATATAGCAGATATGAAGAGTTTTTGAAGGATTGGAATCAACATTATCTGACAAAGAACAACTTCCATCTAAATAATCATAAAAATATTTAAGTAAAAAAAAGGAAAGAAAGAAAAAAAAGGGGGTGACAGGGGTTTCAGATTGAACAAGATCCTCACATTTCATCTAATACATTCGATCCTGGCTAGAGTGTACCAAAATGGAAACAGGATTACTATAATACAAAACTTCCACTACAGCACGCTGTACACACCTGTGTTCCACCCCACTCCCATCCCCTTCCAATACAACTATTTCCCGGCCTGCTGGGCCTGCCGACGAAGGAGCACGTAGATCTTCTCTTTAATCCAGTCTTTGTTATAAGGCTGGTATGTCTGGGTATCAGCTCGGTAACTGAGGAACAGAAAAGTAATGAGCAAAGTTACAATGGTTAATTACTGTCATTCTTTAAAACCCCACATTATAACCGCCTGATGATGGCAGAGACATGTAAATGTTCACACATGAACTTAATGAAAATATAAAAGCTGATTACATAACTGTTAAATTTTAAGTGATATGAACTTTAGATCACTTAGTACAATCTTAAAGCAGAATAAGAAACCAAGGCCTAGAGATCTTAAATTCTCAACATGTTACACAGAACATCTACTTTTTAAAATGAGTTATGACCAGAAAACACATGTTCTTCCTCCTACATAGTTACTATTTTTATGGTTCCTCTAGTGATTAAAAAACAAAACCAAACACTAGTACCAACTTCAAATTTGCTAAATTTATTTTGAATTAACTAAAAAAACCTTTAAAAGCATGTTACTGCCACAAAGATCTCTTACCTGAAAAGTATTAACAGGAGGAAATCTTTTAACCTGTATTTTAGGATTTGCTTTTTAAAATAATGCTAGAGGCCAATGGAGTTATTAGAAAACTAACAAGCTCCAAAATGGCTCTTATCGGTAGGGAAGGGTCAGGCATGCAAGGACTAGCATTAGCAATGAAATTCCAATGCTCAAGGCATCTTTACAGGACTCAAAAAAATAGAAACAGTCCAGTTGACCTACAACTGAAATCTAGATGGTTAAACAATAAATTCATATTTGGATTGAAAAAAATAAAGCTATAGTATAAAAACGCAGGCGGTAACTAGAGATTGCACAAATACAAAGGATATCACAGTGTTTCAAAGCCATGTGCACCATCTGGTGGAAACACTGCATGGCATCCAAGAGAGGCACAGATGCAGTTTGCCTTAAAAAAACTTTAAGGATACCTCCTAGAAAAACAAAATCTTGATTTATCAATTTTGTTTCATTTTAACCAGAAGTTTCATATTTTAACAAAAAATTACATAAGTACCTATTAAGAAGTTACCAACTGCTAGGTATAGCTTTAAGTACTTATCTGAATCAACTCAATTCTTTTTACAACCCTGTAGGAGTAGATAAAATTATTCTTTTTGGAAACCAAAGCACAAAGTACAGCAACTTATTAGCTAAGTGACTTTGGGCAAGAAGAAGCTTAAACACTCCTGACCAGAGTCCTTACTATTAACCACTGAGCTAGAGACCTATGCTTCAATTTTTAGCAAGAGAAACAAACTCCAAAGTAGGAATTTTTTATACCATTATCATTTCTTTCCCTGAATGGTAGGGTCAGAATTTGATTTATTAAAAATGTACAAGCTTTCTACTTTTACAGAATGGTTAACCAAATAAAAAGAAACATTTAGCTTTTTACTAATGTTCTTTTGTTACGAGAAATATTTTAAAAAGCAAAACAAATTTCTTCAAATATCTTTTTCGTGTTTCCTAATTATTATTATTTTTAACCAACCATCGCCTTTCCACCCCTGACCTATGGGTGTTGCCATCTCCCCTTAAGAAATGGATCTCTGAAGGCAAGGCATCTCTTCCCATGCGCTTGTGGCGTGCACCTGGGGCCTGGCGCACCCGGGGTATGGGCCATGGTTCCGCTGGGGGTCGAACATAGACTCTTCTGCGTGTAAAGCAGATGTGCTAACCACTACTCTATAGAGCCACCCCTTGTGTTTCCTAATTAAAGAACTGCTAATCTAGTCTACTTTAAAGCATGGCAGAATAGACTATAATATTTATGTTAACACTGGAAAAGAACTAAAAAAGAGGCAAAATTTTTTAGAACTATAATATCTGGGTGGGACTGCCTTATTTAGACACCCCCCAACAAGAACATTTTGGTTTTGAACATTTAGAAATTCATCAACTTGCATGCTATTTTCCAACTCAAGAAATAGTATTAATGCTTTCTTTATGGAAAGCAGTATATTGGTGACTGTTAACTGGCACCTGAAAATGAGACAATTAAATGTTACGTACATTTATAAAATCTCAAACTGTTGGCACAGATGAAATCTTTTAGCCCAGTGTTATGGTCAATGAATGCAGGTTTATACGAGAACAGAAGCTGTAGGACTGAGCGGTGAAATCAGCCAGTGTCTTCTTGATTAGCAGTAATTATCCCTGTTATGATAATCAAGGATAAAAATATCCCTATTGTCTCTAAGTAAACAAGAAAAGCCTACATATTCAAGAGGCCGTTATCTTAGAAAAAGCTTATTTTAAAAAACTTTACAGATCAGAGAACAGTGAAGAAATTTGTAGTCTGACTTCAAATATATGAACTACAAATCCTCCATGCCTAAATTTTGTCCTAGGTTTAATTATATCACAAAGTACAATCTTATTCGTCCATTTCTTCCTATATTAGTTTAAAAGAGAAAAAGTTCGATGTCATCGCCATATAAATTTAATAGAAACAAGTACACAATTTACAAACCAAAGCTGGGCTCAATTCTTGGTCTAAGGAATAACAGCCCAATTCATAATCCCTGATTTAGGAGAGGGGCAGGATGTGCTAACCGTCAAAGAGGTGCCATAGCAATAGGTGGCCTCTTTGGAAAGAATGCCTTATTTCTCCAGAATATTCAAATAACAAAAGGGGCAAAACAAAGTCACACGGATGAAATGGTTCTAAATCCTAAATTTGATTCTGAAAGTTTTCAGAAGCCAAAAAGTTTCAACATTAGAGACAGAAACATAAACTACAATTCATAGTTTTTTTGATAAAGCAAATATCAGAAACCATTTTAGCATACTAGATGTAGTTTCCAGTTTACATTTAATGGCACAAATTTAGAAATGTTATGTTCTGTTGTTAATGACATACTTGTAGTATGTCTCAAAATCATTTTTTCTTTGTGTAATTTTCACACTGTGAATAAAACAATTCTTGGCTTTAATTCCCATCTGTCGAGAATGAGTGCCATGTCCCAAAGCATCAGGATTAGATACCTGATATCTCAATATGTCTCAATGGTTTTTATAAAATTGGAATAACAGCTATTAATTTTTAATAAAATCAGTAATTCATTTAAAAAATAAAGCACAGGTATGCAAGTGAACTGTGAGACATTGCAATATTTAGCATGACAGAAGTCAGATTCTTTCACTTTTGTTTAACCATCATATCAATTCAGAATATAGCTTTACTGTAAGCAAGGGAAAAGGAAAATCACTAACAATTTAAAAAGTTATACCTCAAATTGTATTCTATGGATGACATGCATCTATACAACCAATATTTACTCAATATCAACTATCTGCCAGATACTATTCTAGGCACTGATGATACAGCACTGAATAAAAACAAAGCTCTCTGTTCTCAAAATCTAGAAAGTAAATATACATTATTGGTGACTTCATATCGAGTAGATGGTTCCGCCAATATCTGGGCCTCTCAGTTCCTCGACATTCTTTCTTCCAACGATCTCGTCTCTTGTCCTTCCGTGGCCAGATCCCTACATCTTGTTCATTACCAGCAACTTCAATCTCCCAATTTCAAGCATTTCATTCTTTGATCACTTACTACTTCCCAATACCTCAACTTCAACAATCCTCTGACTCCACAGGGACCTATAATTAATTGATTCTACCTCTGTCTCATCCCCTAAGCCTTGCTTACATTTCATGATCATTCAGTTCTTTACACAATATTCCCTTGTATACACCCTCAACTTTTAGCAATATCTTTGCTAATTCTCTGCATACAACTATCAGGTTAAGAGTGACCAGGAAAAAACTATCACAATGACTAATTCCATTTTAAATTCATTAGCAGGTACCTCATGAATGACACATTTCCCAATCCCTTCACCCTAGATTATTTCTTACCTCTTTTCACAAACTTCCAATACTCACCCATAACTCCAAATGGTGTCCCTACTTCTTAGATAATTAAAACGATCAGAAAATAATTTCCCTAAGTTCCACCACATCTGCCTGCTCTCTCTATTTTAGTATTAATGAACTGCCCAAGGTCTATCTAAAGCCATCAATTTCTCTCTCTATACTAGATCATACCATCAGTCTGCAAATTTACCATTATTCCCCCTACCTTAAAAAAACATTAAATAAATCTATTTCTTCCTCCAGCTATAACCTCAGTTCTCTACTCTCCTTCTGAGCTAAATTCCTTAAAAAAGTTGTCTGTGTTGGCTGCCTACAATTCTTTTTTTCTTATTAGTATAATACCTGCAGTTTTGTTGTTCTCTTATAGTTTTCTGAGCTTTTTATATTAAAATAATTAAGACTGATATGTTTTTCATCACTGAAAAACATTTACTTCTAGCAGTGTCTGGCATGAAAAAAATTTTAAATCTGATGAATTTCTGAAAATAGAAAACATATGGGTCGGTCTAAAAATCTCACTCTAACATACCAAAATATGCATGGTTAACACCGGGTAGGATTAAAATTAAATTCCATTTTGGTCCTACATATATTTACATTTTAAAAATAGTGTCATAAAAACAGAATAATCTTAGTTTTAATTAAAAGCCAATTACTTTAGGGACAAAGACTATAAAGGAAGAAAAACAAAGAAAAAGATTGGTTTAAAGAACAGAGAATCAGGACTTTGAAATTCTTAATTGGCATCTTCTCTGCATACTAACTGAACCAATTAGCAAAGTTCTTAAGATTTTCCTGTGCCTTTAGCTTTATGTTGTCAAGTTATTTTAGAGCTATATGTAGATGAAATAATAATTACTACCTAGAAGTCAAAATGCAAAGACCAGTGTCAGGTAGAGTGAGCTCCCAATACCATAAATTGCCTCAATAAACAAGAGGAAAATACAACTTAAGAGACATGGTGGTTAATACTTACACAAGGCAGCTGAGGTCTGCCAGATCATCAATAAAATCAAACAACTGACTGATATCATACGTGATAGAGGGGCTGTTGGGATTCATTCTCTTCAGATGTTCCTCATACATTTTACAAACGCCTAAGAGAGGAAAACCAAGATCTTAAAATTGCATAAACTTTAGATATAAATAGTATGCTGATTATATGTTGATAACATAATACTTATTTTCATAAAGTTGGGCTAGCAATTTTATAAAAACTTTATAAATTCTCCAGAACATTGGTATTTTGTGCCTTAATAATAAAAAGAGTACTATGAGCCATTGTATCTAAAAGGACTTTAAAGACTTGTCATATATGATGGTTCTAACAAATGAAGACACTATCTTATCAGGTTTTTCATTAGCCACAGAGTAAAGAAAAATACCACACTTGTAAATGATACTTTCTATTTTGCTTTCAAATTTTGAAACAATGCAGCAAACAAAAAACCAACTCCCATCCTACACAAAACGAAAAGAAAATCCAAAAACAAAAATAAATCAAAATTGGCAATGAGGAAGAGATTATCGTAACAGAGTATGTAAGATCCTTAACTCTGGATTCAGAGACTTGACTCCATTCCCGAACCCTATCTGTCAAACAGAGATAACAGTATCTACAAAGAACTGTTGTGAAGATTATGCAAAATAACAAAGAACCAGTACATGCAATAAGCATATAAGTACTCAAATGTAAGTGATAAAAAGACAATAAAATGAGCACAATCACTGAGACCAAATTAACATAATTATCTAAAGAGCACATTATTTAATTTCTATACAGTGACACAGTCCTCTCTCATTCCTACAAAATGGAAACATAACCTCTTCAGTCCAATCCCACTACAAATACTTTTAAGACTACTATGATGAATAGACGAGTGAATAAATGTTAGTTAGGAAAAACATGTCCTATCCTGTATGCACAGGTCCTCCGTTTACCTCTCAACTGACTTCAAAAATTTCCTAATAAAAATATTCAACCACAGAGCTATCAAAAGCTATCTTAGTTATGGTTTTTGATTGGCATAGTATACCACATTGTGATCAGAGAATACTGATTAGAAAGGTCAAAATGGAAAAGAAATAAAAACCAGGAAAATAAATTCACAGCTACCATATTTAATGGTGAAAGATGGATGCTTTTCTACTCAGATTAGGAAGAACGCTAGTGTATCTGTTCTTGCCACATGTATTCAATATTGTACTGGAAGTGCTAGCCAGGGTGATTTGGCAAGAAAAAGAAATAATAGGCATTTAGGTTGGAAAGGAAGAAGTACAACCATCTCTTCACAGATGACATAAGCTTGTATACAGAACATCCTAAGGAAACCATGCACACACAAAAAACTATTAGAACCATTAAGTGAGTGCAACAACACTGCAGGATATTGCGTCAATATACAAAAATCGACTGTATTTCTATAACCTAACAATAACAATCTGAAGATGAAATTAAGAAAACATTTCCATGTATAATAGCATCAAAAAGGAATAAAACTCTTAGAAATAAATTTAATAAAAGAAGCATAAGACATACACTGAAAACTATAAAATGTCATTGAAAGTAAATATTTAAATAAATGGAATGATATCTCATGTTCATAGATTGGGAGACTTAATATTAAGATGATAATATTTGCCAAAATGATCTATAGATTCAATGCATCCTCTATAAAAATCTGAGCTATTTTTGCAGAAATTGACAAACTAATCCTAAATTTGATAATGGAAATACAAGGGACCCAGGAGAGCCAAAACAACCTTGAAAAAGAACAAAATTCAAAGACTCGAACTTCCTGATTCCAAAACTTACTATAAAAAGACAGTAATCAAGACAGTGTGGTAATGCTGATGCCTAAGGATAGGCATATGGATCAATGGAATAGAAATGAGAGTTCACGAATAAACCCTCATAATTATAGTCAATTTTTTTGACAAGGATACCAAGACAATTCAATGGAAAAATAGTCTTTTCAACAAAAGGTGCTAGGACAACTGTATATTCACATATAAAAGAATGAAGTTGGACTCATACCTGCATTTATAAATTTATAAATATTTATGAATTTATAAATATTCAGTCAAAATGGCTCAGAGAACCCAAATTCTAAAACCCTGGAAGAAAATATAGGCACACATTCTCATGACTTCGGATAAGGTAATGGCTTCTTCAATGTGACACCAAAACCACAAGTAACAGAAGAAAAGATATATAAATTGGAGTTTATCAAAATTTAAATCTTTTGCGTTTCAAGGACCCTATCAATGAAGTGAAAAGACAAGCCAAAGACTGAAAGAAAATCTTTGTAAATACATATATCAATCTGATAAATGACTGTTATCAAAAATACACAAAGAACTCCTAAAACTCAATAAGAAAACTCAATTTAAAAAATGGGCAAAAGATCTGAACAGACGCCTCATCAAAGAAGATATAATGACGGCAAATAAACATTATGAAAAGATGCTCAACATCATGTTATTAGGAAACTGCACATTAAAACAATGAGATCTATACATCAGAATGGCAAAAATCCAAAACGCTGACAACACCAAATGCTGCCAAGGATGTAGACCAACAGGAACTCTCACTCACTGCTAGTAGGAATGCAAAATGTCTGAAGACAGTTCGTCAGTTTCTTACAAAGCTAAACATAGCCTTACCACACAAGCCAACAATCATACCCCTTGCTATTTACCCCAAGGAGTTGAAAATTTACATCCGCACAAAAACCTGGACACAAATTATTTACAGGAGCTTTATTCATAAGTGCCAAAATCTGAAAGCAAGCAAGACGTCCTTCAATAGGTGAATGGATAACCAAACTGTAGAGGATCCATACAACAGACTATTATTCAGTGATATTAAAAAATCCGCTTTCACAAAAGACATGAAGGAATTGAAAAAGCATATTTTTCTAGGTCCAAGAGTCAATGTAAAAAAGCTACATACTATATAATCCAAACTACATGACATTCTGGAAAAGGCAAAACTCCAAAGACATTATGGTAGATACACATTACACATACATGAAAATCTGCAAAATATTCAAAGCAAAGACTGAACATAATGTAAACTATGGACTGCAGTTAATAATAACGTATCAGTACTGGTTCTACAATTGTAACAAATGTGTCACAAAAATATGTAAGTAATTGGGGAAGCGGGGGTTAGGTGCAGGGGTTAATATGGGAATTCAATTCTCTAACAAACAAATTTCTTGTGAACCTAAAACTACTCTAAAAAAATAAAATCTATTAATTAAAAAGGAAATGGAGCAAAGAGGGAAAGCTCTGCTTTCCAGAGGAATATTAACTACTGTAAGAGAAAAATAAGAAAATTACCATTTGGCAACCACCATTTGAGAACTGATTTAGTAATTCCATCTGAATTATTTCTAACTTTTTAAATGGAAAATAAATCGCCATTTCTAATTTAAAAAGAAAAAAGCTATTAAACCACAAAAAGATATGGGAGAACTTTAAATGTACATTGCTAAGTGAAAGAAGCCAGTCTGAAAGGACTATATATAGTAATGATTCCAACTCTAAGACATTCTGGAAAAGGCTAAACTAAGGAGGCACTAAGACCAACAATTGTCAGGGGCAGAGGGTGGGCTGGCGAAGATGAATAGGTGGGACAAAGAGGATTTTTAGGGCAGTTAACTCTTCTGTTGATTCTGTAATGGTGGATATAAGACATGCATTTGTCAAACCTACAGAACTGTACAACACAAAGAATGAACCCTAACTATGGACTTTAGTTAATAATAATAATGTATCAATACTGGCTTGTCAACTGTAAACGAATGCATCATACAATGCAAGATGTTATTAATAGGAGAACTGCATAGGGGGTGGGAAGAGGGAATACATAGAAACACTCTGTATTTTGTTTAATTTTTCTTTAAACCTAAAACTGTTCTAGAAATAAAGTGTATTAATTAGAAAAAAAGTTAGGCTTCACTAAAATCAATGAAGGGTAGTAAAGAGTATTGCAGAATCAACGATCAGACATGATATAGGTAAGGCAACATTCTGCTAAGGCAGCACGTAGACAAAGCCTACATTAGTGGCAAGCAAGGAGGACAGCAGAGGAAGGGACATGAAAAAAGAACAAGCGCTTCGCTCTTTAAAAATCCGGGCATAATTTCATGGCAACCAAAGGCATGCTGCCAGCTACCTAGAACCTGTCTCTATTTCAGCTGTCTCTATTTTCACAGGTCTACCCATTGTTGGCTTTGAATGAACAGATTTTTAAGTCTAATCCAGTTAGCTTTGGGTAGCAACAAATGGCAAAAAGAATGACTATAAAATCTTTGTAACATAAGAAGAATGGACAATTTGCTAGAAAGGGTGTAGGGCATGCACAATTGGCTTATCTGATATAATGATTAAATGTTAAAGATGAATGAATGCAATTTGTGACAATCCAATCTACATGCTCTCATCTAATGGTTTACTGAATAAAGAAACATTAAGAGCTAACAGTTCCCCTTCAGTGTGGTGACCACTTATCAAAGCACAATAAATTATACTGATTTGGTTCCATTTGTCTTTATTCTCTGAACTAATTTTTATTTCCTAACAGCATTCCTAAATATCTACTTCCTCTGCTCAAATTAACAAACCCAGAAATCTGGAGAAAAAAACAAACCTAGTTCCTATATGAGACACATTCTAATAGTGAGTGTCAGGAAAAAAATAAGTGAAAGATTTCTACCCCTAGAACAGTGTTTAAACTCACCTTCCATGCATTCATTCACAGATTCATAGTCAGCGTAAGTTCTGCCTTCTGGCCTCTTGGTAGGCTGTACCAGCAAAATGGTGTGAGACTACAGGGGGAAAAAATGTGATTTCACTGTAAGTTTCTAACTCACATTTTGAGAAATTCATAGTATGCTATAAAATCCTTCATGGCAAATTATACTATTTTCGATACTTACTGCCCAATGACAAGGATTAAGAACTACTAAGAACAAAAAAATGACTATAAAACTATAGTCAAAAATGGTTATTTTAAGAGGCAGTGCTTTCCTGTTGCAAATTTAAGATCATAATACCACTCAAATCAGTTTTTGTGACTTTCTTCTTATTGAAGCTATTTTCAGAACCCTTCGGTTTTATTAAAAACCCAAATATATTTTTCTTATCAGTTTTTTTTCCTTCTTCTGGACAGATTTGGTCCTTGCCTTCCTTATGGTCTTCTTTCTTGGAGGAATGACCAGTACAAAATATATATTTAAAAGCTATGAATATACATACAAAATATAAGTACATTTAGGCAAATACATATATTTTATATTTGCTACAAAAGGAAAATAAGATTGTGAAACCTAATCAGAAAAAGTTATGCAGAATTACCTTAATAAAATCTCTCTATTCTCAATGATTACCAAGTAGCTGTGATTCACTTTAATGAATAGTTAATCTGGCTTTGTCAACTTTCTTAAAGTCTCACAAACATGAACCCTAAGGACAGTCATTCTGCTGAAGCAGAAATAATACATACACACAATTTACTCATTAGCTTTGAAAGAAATTGAAGCTTGTATCTCCAGTAAAGCAAAAGTACTTAAGACTGCAAAAGCTGAACCAATAAAATTTTGCTTTAAACACACTCTAATTTTTAATTATATTCTGATTGATAGGAATTATCACTGACATTTGTCCAACAAGAATGGGTTATTAACTGCTGTCCCTTTCTCAGATTTTAATCTAAGCATTTTAACACACCAAATAATGACATAAAAAGCAGTGAAAGGACACTCAGATAAAATGACTTAATCAAGGTCACATTGCTATTTGTGACAAAACAGGAACTGGAAATCAAATTTTCTAATTCCAAGTCCCCTTTAGGAGGCTATGTTGGGTCAAACACGGAAATAACTGAATTCAGAAAAGTACAACCTGAAAAAGTGCCTTAACAATAGTTGCATAACTTGTTAACAGTAACTGTAGCAACCAGGAAACGAAAGGTTAAGTGTGGAAGTAACCACGATTACTCATAACCCCCGTGAGCATCTCCCTTTTGTGGATTAAAAAAAAAAAAAAAAAACCCACCCACCCACTCCACTATTACCTCAGTAAAATTCTAAAGAACCTGGACCCTCAACTAAGTCTATTTTTTCAGCTTACAGTCCCAAGAGAATACAAATAAGAGTAAGAACAGGATTGAGGGTTGAGAGTAACACCAAATCAGGCATCTAAAGATCTTGGAAAAAAGAAAAAAAGATATATATAATACATTTTTTTTTTCTTTTTCAAAGCCAAAGCACAGGAAAAAAGAGGGGAGGGAAATAGCTGAGCAAGCCCACTACAAGCAAAGACGACCCCTCCTGGCCCACGCGCTGGGTGCAATAAATTGAAACTGTCAGCTTTGGGAACAGGTTTGTCAGGCATCCCTCGGCCATTGTTCCTACAGTAGGCTAGAGCGTTTGGAGGTAAAGAGCATCATCCCCACGCCTGCCTCTACCGAGCAGCAATCGGGAGAAAAAGCATCCTGGAGCACCGCACGCATCGCCCAAGCCAGTAAGCGGGAGAGCAACCATAGGGCGGACCCGGGCTCCGGGGCCTAGTGCCAGGCCCAGCGTTTCGGCGGCGGGAAGGGAAAGGGAAAGGGTCCACTCGCAAGTTGGAGGGCCGGGGAGTAGCACGCTTGTGCTGAATGGGGGTGAGGTGGGGTAAAGGATGTACAGGGCTGAAGTAACTTGGAGACTGGGGGTTCGGGGAGCCGCTGAGGCCTTTCTCACCATCGCGCCAAACTCTTTCGCTGCAGCCGCCGCCGACACTGCCGCCGCACACGAGCTTAGCCACAACGCCGCCAACAGCCAATACCCGCGAGAAGAGCCGCCGGAAGTCGTCAGAAACGCACCGCGAAAGAGCCTTTTAGACCATAGAGGCTCACATATTTCCGGCAGCTAGAGCAGATACCGACTCTGTTTCAGCCATCTTGGATAAGGGCGATGAGATACACAGGGAATTTTTCGGAACTTGAAAAGGAATCTTTTTTTTTTATTGTCAAGACTCTGTCTTCCGTATTCTCGTTATTAGACATAACGGCTAAAGCGATCACTGATGTAGACAGTGACACAAGTCATCTTTCATTAGCCCTACTAAAAAATGGCGGCAGTATTAGAATCCCGGCCCATAGGTCGGTTGTAACCCGGAAGTACCTTTCTAAAAGAGGGGGCGGTGGGGCAATCCGGAAGTGGATGTAATGAAGGGGTGCCACTTGGCGGCCATGGCAGCTATAGTATCAGTGGCTCCGGTTCAAGGCCCAGCAGAGTGGAGTAATATGGGCAACACCGGGTATAGGGCAGAGACAGCTTTGTATCGGCTTCGCTGATGAACCCCTAAGACCCATCGTTAGAGACTTGCAGGACTCCTTTCCTCATTCTAGACTCGGAGGAGAGTTTGCTGGGACTGGTGGGCTGGTCCCAGCCTGAGGGAGTAACCGGCAGGGTGCCCCAGGGAGCTAGGAGCGCTGGGAGAACGAACAAGTTCGCTTGGGTTTTCCTCCTTTTCCTGCTGCCACCTGGGACGTTGTCTGTGGAGAGAGTGGGCCCTTTGTGCCACCCTCATTCCGACGATTGAAGAAGTCGCTCATTCGCATATTTCCCCCCATGGACTTTTCCCTTCTTTAACTGTTAACCCACCGGAATCCAGTGACTGGCATCTGAAAACCCAGGGGCTGGGACCTAAGACTGCTGAAAGTTCTCTCTGGTGCTAATATCAGCAAAAAAGGGCTGTTTCCAGGTACGTTCAAGAGCAAGGTGCCTCGTGAACACATCTGGTGGGGAGGACGAAGGAACTGGAAAGTCCACTTGTTCTCGTGGAATCACGCGTTTAAGAACCTAAGCACCCTTTGAAGCCACTGACAATTTGTAGTCTGGTGGTGGTAGTTGAATGAAGGAGGGCAGAATGGATGATTTCATCTCCGTTGGTCTGCTGTCTCTGGCTATGTTGGTGGGATGTTACGTGGCTGGAATCATTCCCTTGGCTGTTAATTTCTCGGAGGTAAGAAATTCTCAATTTTCTGTCAGCTGTCAGGATGGCTGCTAGGAAGTAGTGACAGTTTTAAAGGGAGACTGCTTCCACAGTTAATGTCAGAGCTAAAGATCTTATTAAGGAAGGTTGTCTTTAAAAAAAGAAAAAGATGCATAACATTTAATAATAAAAACAAATCTCACATTTAGTGTTAGGATTCTTAACCTGCGGTGGGTGGATCCACTGCAGATCCTGGAGTAATCTAAACTTACCGAAATTGCATATAAAAATTTGAGGCTTTGTGCGTTTTCCTGGGGAGAGGCACCATAATATTCTTTTGATTCTCAAAAGTTTCAAGGAATGAAGGTTCCAGGTTGCTAAAAAGAAATATTAGTGGTGAATATTATTTGTTCATCGGAGTTGAAATCAATATAACTTCTCTTTTTGAGGAAATCAAACAGTTTTTTGGAGAAAGATAGTTTTTTTAATTACTGTATCAGAATGAAGAAAAATGCTCATAAAAAAACTTAAATTAGGTTCTTAACTCACATTTCCTTTTAAAGGAGAGCATTAGACTGGATATTCGAAGTTATTTTCAAATCTGGTTAGAAATGAATTTTTCGTTAATATGTTTGACATTTGGTTAATTTGTTTGGTTGTCATTACTTGAACAAACATTAACTAACAGGGAAGAAAGATGAAAGCATTGTTCAATGAAGATGCAGATAGGTTCTTCGAGTTGTCATAAAGAATTTACAACATCACAGTGTTCAAAGATTTTGGGAGAAAAACTACTACATGGGTAGAGGGGAACAGGATTTCATGAGTATGCCCTGGAGTTAAGTAGTAAAATAGGCCCTAGTTTCACTGCCAGTCCTGAAAGTGCTTTTAAAGGACAGCGGAGAGTAGAATGTCCTGAAGTAGGAAGGAAAGGTATAGATGAAGTGTGAGGTAGGCCTTGAAGAAACCTGAGGGAAGAGGCATTGCTGGTAAAATAGCCTGTGGTGGGAAAGAAGGTGGGACAAAGCCTTAATGAAAAATAGTAAAGCCCACAGTTAGCTGGAGGAGAGGCTTGAATTGTTGCTGCTCCTTTTCCTTTTCGTTTTTGTACCTGTACCCCTCAGCATCTAATGCTAACATTGAGCTAAAATTTTTGAGCACCTAACTTCATTTTAAAAGCTCAAGGAGGTACAGATGAGGAAACTGAGATTCAGATTGTGTCTGTTTCATGAAGTATGTTAGAATTAAAGCTGTTTTTCTAAATCTAGGTTTTTCTGACTCAGCAATTATTAGCCACTTTGTCCATTGTGGCAAAGGTAGCAAACTGGGAACCCATGTACCAAATCTAGCCCACAGACTATTTAATTTTACTATTGTTTTTTGACTATATTGCCTCAAGGCAACATTTAACTACAGCTGAGTAGTGATAGAATGTCGGCTGTCCTCCTAGCTATGTGTGAAGCCTACTGGACTCATTTTGGCTACCTGCCTGCCCAGTGCTTTGTGAGCCTGCTGTTTTTCCTCTAACATAAACCATATTTTCTTGTAACTACATTAGAATCGAATTGACATTAATAGGGCTGACATTTGTGGGGTTAAGTTGGTTTGTATATCCAAACTTACTGAGGTAACATCAAAATTGTAATTAATTCAAATAAGAATCCGATAAATCTTATTTCTATAAAAGGCTTAGGACTTTTCCAATTTTAGTATTTTCTCCATCTATCTTGGGTGATTTTTGCAATATGCAGATATATGCTATGACACTGAAAGGAAACGTGTACATGAATTGTGTAATTAACTAGGCCATTAGTAAAGATAATTGGTATGACGTGTCATTTATGGCTTTCTAAATTTATGGTCATGTGGTCATTTCCAGCTGTAGTTCTTAAAGTGCTAGAAATCCGCATTCATAATATCTACTTATCATGCAGAAGGAACAATGCATTTTGAACTATTAAAATAAAAATGAAAGTCATATGTAACTTAGTCAAAGACATTTTAGAATTGAACTTGTGTTTTCTATCTCCTAGAAATTAAGCATTTTTTCCTTAGGCAAATTATACTATTATTACCAACCAAAGTATCGTGAAACTAGTGAGATGATAAATTTGTAAAAATAAACTTCATTCTTAGGGCCTGGGAAGCACAATTTCTACTTTAGAAAATAGTTCTCCAGATTCCAACATTGACTAAGGTCTAGCTTTTTTTAGAGACTAGTGTTATTATACATAGGAAGACCAATAAACCTAATTTATTTTACAGTTCACTTTTATTTACATGAAAAGGTATGCTTATTATTCATGTTCTTAATCTAGCTGCTGCTTTGTCATGCAATACTTTTTTCTTCAGAATTTCTCAGCAG